GGGCGCGCTGCCGGGCCCGGCCGCCCCGCACGGCCCCGCGCCGGCCCGCGGGAGCCGCCGGGCGCCCAACTTGCTCCTTTGTTTAAATGCCCGCCGCGGCTCCCTCCTCCTCCCGCTGCTCCTGCTCCCGGCCGCGGAGCCCCGCCGASCAGCGGGCACCCCCGCGCCGCCTCCACGCCGGGGTCGCGGGGGCAGCCCCGCATCTGTTGCTCTTTCGTGACCGGCCCTCGCGGGGCGCCCCCACCGCGCTGCCCCCCCGGAACCGGCACCGACGCGGAGTCGCCCCCCCCCACCCCCGCCACGCGCGGCCATTGTCCCCCCGGTAACGGCCGGGGGGGGGGGGGTGAGTGCCACGGGCGTCGCGGCAGCTCCGCGCGCGGCCGTCGCGGCGCGTCACGTCGCGGCGCCCACCTGCCGTGGAACCAGTCCTTGCAGATGTCGCACTCGATCATGAAGCGGCTCACGTCGTAGGGCTCCCGGCACACGCAGTACACGGGGGTCGCGGCAGCCACCGCCGCCGCTCCGGCCATCTTTAAAGAACTCCCTGACTGCGCCGCCCGCCCCCCCTCCTGCCGCCGCCGCGGCACCAATAACAACAGCGCGCGCGCCAGCCCCGCGCGCGCCCGCGGGCCGCGGCGAGGGAGGGAGGGAGGGAGGGCGGCACCGAGCGGCGCCGCGGGAGCGAGCGGACAACAGCGCGCGGGGGCGCGCGCACGTGCGTCACCTCGCCCGCGGGGGGGGGCAGCCCCCCTCCCCCGCCCCGCGCGCACTGCGCCTGCGCTGCACGCCCCCGCACCTCCTTCCGCGCAGCGCAGGGCGGGCGTGCGCGGCCGAGGGGGGGCGGGAGGAGGGGGGACAGCGTGTTCCTATTGGCGGAGCGGAGGGGAGCGCACGTGCCGCCTCCCCCCACCCTCCTGCAGGGGGCGGGGCGTGGGGAGGCACGCGCTGCCCCCCCCTCGCCGCCCGCGAGGGGGAGGGGCAGGGTGCTGCGAGGACACGGAGAGAAAGAGCGCGGCGCGCGCCGCCCCCTCCCCCCGCCCTTATGTAACCGCGGCGGAAGCAGCCGAGAGGAGCCGAAGGCGCCCGAAGGACGCGACTTTGTTGTCGCGCCGCGCACGCGCAGGCGGCCCGGCCTCGGCGGGCGGGGGGAGTGCGTGGAACGGCCGCGCGCTAACGGTCGGTCGCAACGGTCGGCCGCAACGGTCGGCGGCGGCTCAGGCGAGCGGTCGCTCGGCGAGGTGCCTTCCGTTCCCTGCCCGTTTTTTTTCCGCTGGCAGCCTGCCCTCTTCGGCAGCTAAGTCAGCTTAAGATCCTCGTGGAAGGCTTGTTGTTCACRGGCTAGGGAGATAGTGCAATAAAAAATAAACTGTGAAACGTGTCAGATCCCTGCGTGTAGCATCAGTACACAGCTGAAGCCCCGGTGACCCCTCTGCAGGACGYGGGCCCTTGAGGAGCTGGCAGGGCTTTGCCCGAACAGGCATCCTGGGAGCCCCAKTGCTTTCCTGCATCCCACGCCGCCTGCTCCTGGGCTGCATCCTCAGCCYTCAGCTCCGCTCGCCCATTTCCATTGCGCTCCTCCAATCCGCAAGCCTGCCTGCCTGCTCAGGAGGTCTTCTCCGTAGGCAGCAGCTTGTTATTTCTTCTCATGTGGATTCAATAAAAGGCTCAGAAGAGTGAACCAAAGAAGTGTCGTAGGAAGTCAGTGGAGTAGCGTTATTTATTACATCCTTCGGAAAAAAAGTATGTCCCAGCTCATCAGAACACAAACCAAATGCCACATGGAGCTAGAGCATCCCTTTTCCTAGCACGGATGTCAGGGCCAAGGCACACCAGATTTTACAGAGCCTACTGGTGTTTCCATGCTGTCGAGTTAGGTTTTGCAATGGGGTTAATTATTGTGAAACTCTCTGCGTGCTTTCCATGCTGCTCCCTTCAATGTAATCACCCTTTATTTCAGCAGAAGAAAAATAACACGGATGTGTTATGTAGAAGACAGAGAAATAGAATTTAAATTATCTTTTTTTTTCCCGCTGGCAGCTTCAGGGAGTACTAGGGAATGAGGACTCTTGTCTTCCACGGTGGCATTACAGATTTAAAAGTAAAACAATAAATATGTTCGAGTGCATGCTACTGTAAGCATAACTGTAATAGACTAACCATGCTTACAACATTATAATTTTTCATTAACCACCAATAGCCACACACACACAAAAAAAAAAAAAAAAAATCATGCTCTCTACATTTGTTTGGCAAAGGGAAGCTCAGAAGTAAATGTTTCATTTCCCGGCTGTTATTGTGAGGCTAACTACCATCAACATTTATGTAAGACAGCAACACTAAATGCTGATCTGGCAGCAAACTGGTCAGCAAAGAAATGTAAAACAAATAGATCTTTAACACAGACTCCRTGACTGAATGAACAGTGCAGCAGAGGAATACAGGGAATGTACGGGGCATTTTCAAGAAACGTCTAATTCTCAGATCCAAAGCTTGACCCATTTAGAAAGTACATGCAGTTCTRTCCTTCAGGATGTTGTTAAGGGATGTTTTGTTACTCTTCTAGCATACCCCAGTATTTCAGCAACTCGGAACGTGGCCACAGACACATTGCTCCTCTAACGGATGATGTTAAGCTAAAGAGGGGTCAAATACCAGTAAACCRACAAATGAAGGTTTCAGGATTTATGGAATTAATATATACTATGAAGTTACTATCATAAATATTTTCCTTCATTAATCTGATTGAAAACCTTACCAAGCTAGTTGTATATTAATGGTAGGGCCTGTGAGCTCTTGGAGAAACAACGGCAGATATTGCTATAGACAACTGCTCAGCTTTAAGTTAAAGTTGTTATTTGTATTTATGCAACAAAGCACCAGTATATATAATCATGTAAGAGCCTGAAAATGAATAATATCTTCCTCTCTCGCCTGCTGTTTACTAGGTYGTCACATGATCAGTTTTATCTTGAAAGTGCAATTACCAGCTGCAGTGGTAACGTTATCCAAAGCGGCCATAAAAACAAACAGACGTTGTGTTTCAAGAGGTCTCTGCAAACAACAGCCCTCTTAGCCACCTTGGAGAAGCAGGCTGTTGGCGATTCCCCCAAGAGATGGGGGTGAGGYTGGGTAACAATTATTTCAGGGAGACACCTGGTTTTGTTCAGGGTCAGGGCAGTGTTACTTGTTGTCAAGGAAGTTTTCAGCTGGCATGGAAAAGAACTGACCAAACAAGAGTGAAAAGAATGAGGAAACAAAACGATTGCGTTCTGGAGGCACCTTCCTTTTTCCAGCCTTCACTATTGCAACAAACTTCTTTTTTTTTTTCTTTCCTCCAGAAAAGAAGTTACAACCTTGACCATGCAAAAGAGATATCACCATTTAATAAGCATGCTGTCTAYTACCACAAACAGCAGCCTCGTGCTGTTGTGATTTAAATTTGAACAAGGCCTCAGTGATTGTATCTGGTATTGGCATTCCTTAAACAGGTGGGAAACACCTACTTTATCTGTTGTAAAAAAAGTGGGATGAAACAGCCTCATCCCAATCTAGATTTGATCTGTCCTGTCAGCTCTTTTCTTGCCAAGCATTCTTGCTGAATGTTCTCAGACTTGAATATAACACAGCGAAAGTTCAGAAAGGCAAAAGACTACACACACACCCTGAGAGAATTAACAAACCATTTTCAATAACTATACTTCCCAGAAACGGGGATATCGCTCATCTATCACTCTCATTAAATACAGTTTAGAAACAAAACTGAGAAACGAACCTTTTGTTTTATGTTTGCTTACTGAAACCAACCTTGAGCATAAATAAAACAAATGAAGCAAGTGCACAGGATCTTTTTAGATCCCACCCCAGGGATCCTGGAGTTTAGAGCGCACCCCAGGAGCACTTCGGAAGCGCAGCAGCCTGGCAAGGCAGGCGACATGAGATGTGCAGTGTGGAGCACTYCGTACGCTGCAGGGCTGCGTTCCCAGCTTGGCCGCTGGACTAGTGACTGCCTAAAGCAGGAGAGGCRGCAGCACCACAGGACTGGGGGGAATGAGGAATTAGCAGCAGGGGAGATGGAGAGGCAGGAGGACAATGGGTAGGGACAAGGACAAGATCCAGTCTGGGGGAGGGTGATGTAAGCAGGCAGGAGCATCGGGTCTTGTCTAAAAATAAAAGGAACGGTGTCATGGATTGCATCAGCTATTCTCAGGCTTTTTAATCATCCCTATCCTGCTGTTTCTCTTCGGTAACACTGTGCTTTCCTTCTGCCTCACGTATGCATAGACACCTTCACTTCCCACGCTCTAGTTTGCACCCAACCCACTGTCCCTTCAACAACCTGCGTAAACCCTTCGGCCTTCTAGCCATGCCTCCAGAAGATCATTCTACGCTGCCCTCCACCAAAACGTGCCCTGCCCCGACTAGCCCAGCCCCTCACAAACACAACTTCATGCTATGGGGAGAATTGGATGATAGTTTATTGTTAAGGCTGGCATCAGTCTTTGGGATGGAAAGGGCTGAAAGGCTATAGTTATTCCTGAATAAAGCATTACAGGGCTTAGGGCATTGAGGAACTAGTGTGACAGGAAGACCATACAGTCCTCTAACATGCCAATCCATGCTTGTGCAAATAGTTTAGGGTTGGCCCTGACCAACAGTGTGGCTCGCTGTTGTACAGGCCAGTATGGAGTTAAGCTTGTAATAGGGTTTGGACCTTGGCACTAGGTACAGGTCACATTAGCTAGGGCTGGGTTGAACGTTTCATGTTAGATGGGAATTCTTCTATGGTTAAAGTCACTGTGAGAGATCAAGAAAGCAAGGAATACAGAATTCATAATCTTACTTAAAAAGGTCTTAGGGTTTCTTCCAAAGCCTAGCCTTGCAACCACTTCTCTCCAGTTGAAAGGTTGGAAAGGTATTTAGTGATCCTTTTCATCTATCAGTCTTGACTGTAAAAGCCATGTTCTAGGCTTGCCATAACTCTCTTCAAATTTCAGTTTTCCAATACAAGGCACAAAGTGGACCATTCCCTACAGCTGCTTTAGATTTTATTGTAAGTCCATGTCTAGATCCTCAGCTACTCCTTYCCTGAACCGTAAAACTTACTCACAATTATCAGACACTAACCACTCCCACCCAACCAGTAACTTCATACAAATGGGCATCKGCCTTCACCCATTTTGTCAGTCTTGTGGGTTTCAGCAAAATACCTAGTTCCTCAGTAAAAGCCAAGTAAACAGTGTAAAAACATTCCCTAACCCTATGTTTAACCATGGCATAACACTGCACTGAAGCCCTATTCCCAAGCCATTATCAGCACTCATCACAGTTTATTGATTTTTTGGGGTAGACAATCAAATCTCTTCAGTTCTGCAAAACTAACCTAGGCCTAGTAGCCTGATCCTTAAGAACTCCAGAAAGTCCCATCATCTCCCAAATCCAAAGTTGTGACACCTGACATTGGTCTTTCTCATAGCACAAAGCCTTGTGCAGGTTCCTCTGCTTGATTAGCTTCTCATCCCCCCCTTTTTTTTTCCTCCTAAATCCTCCTAAATGCCCA